GAATAATGTGACTGGGAGGATGTATTCTGGGTACAGGGAACCTCAGACTACTGATGTTGAGAGAGGCCCTTTGATGACTATGGTTTTAGTTCGAGTGAAGTGGCTGCTGTACCAGATACACGTCGCGTCATAGGTTTGGTAGGTTTAGGCTTAACATAATTTTGTCGTCTATATGATCTTCTTGAGTGTCATTAAGGGAATAGACAAGGTATAATTCCAGTAATATCACGACAGGGGACACTAGAAAAGGGCTTCACACATTGGGGAATCGGACCCGGTTCTTCGGCGATTTTTTCGGAAGGGTTAATTGATGTTGCTCTGGAATCTATCCCTAAAACATCGACAAATGCACGTGTATATATGTAAAGGATTCACAAAGCGTATCACCATCTCAAAAACAATAATAATACTCTGACATCTGGAAATTGTGAATCATTGGGAGAAACTATCAGCATAAATTATTCATCTGCTAACTATGATCCTAAGCTTCCAAACTGCAAAACAAAAACTGAATTTTATTTCTGACCATTCTGACCAATCAATAACGAGCCATTTTGTTTGACTGAATTACGTTATGCTTTAAACAAGACTCATAGGAGAGCAACTATTGTCAGGATTATCATCCATTATCAGGTAAGTTTCCTCCTTCCTGGCACGAAGCTACACCAAACTCACTCACTCACTCCTCCTTCCTGGCACGAAGCTACAATAATCCCTATCTCCAAACCAGGAAAGGATCAAGCAAACCTTTGGAACTGTCGACCAACAGAAGTCTCTAGCTGTGTCTGTGAAACGATGGAGCCAATGACATCAATAGTCGCCTAGTCTGGAATCTAGAATCAAATAATCTGATCATGGATATCCAATCTGGTTTTAGACATCAGACGAGCACTATTGATGATCTTGTGACATTAGAATCATTTGTCCGAAAGGGTTTCATAAATAAACAACATGTTGTATCTATATTTAGGAAAAAGCCTAAAATGAGACATGGAAGTATGATATCATGAAAGATTTGCATGATATGGGTCTTCTAGGCTGTCTGCCGGATTTCAGAAAACAGGAACTTTAAAGTCAGTATCGGTTCCACAAGTATTTGATCAGGAAATGGGAGTCCCTCAAGGTAGCGTTTTATCAGTGACCCCTTTGCAAAGGTTTTGACTGATAATATTATGGGCCATTGTTTGTTGATGACTTTAATTGTCCTGCCGAGGTACAAAGACGAACACAGATTTGAATTTACAAAATTCACAAGTGGTCTCTTGAAAACAGATTTAGATTTTCCAAAGCGATAACATGTGTTCATTTTTGTAGTATACGCAACATAGAGTTATTAATTAACTCCCAACAAAGTGTTCAAAGGCCAACGTGTTCGTAAATTTTGACAATAGATTGTCTTTTATTCGTCAGATTACAAATCTTAAAGACAAATGATTTAGATCTCTTGAAAATGGATGTCCTGCTTGACTGTATTGGATTTTCCATCACAAGGGAATCGATATTTCCAATCATCATCAAAGAAGGATATGTTTAGTTGTATTTGTTCACATTTAATCATTGTTTTTTAAAGCAAATTGACTTACTTTATAATTTTTGATGTATCTAGTTAAAGATATTTTATTCAGGATTATTAACCGAACTTGTTCATGAAGCGGTTGAAGTACCGAAAAATTATTGTCCCCCTGAGAGTACAATCGCCTGTGTCTGAAGGGATGGTGTCAATCCATCCCGGTGGCAAATGTACTGTAAGACCCCATGGTCCCTAGTATGGTGATCTACCTTCAGCTGCTGGAGATCTATAGCCAATTTTTACTATTCTTTTGTATTCTCTCAACTGGTTTTAACAGATACCTGTGATACTGTAATAATTCTACTAGATGTCGTAATCCTATTAAGTTAAATATTTATATTCAAATTCTCGTCACGGTTTGGCTGAAACATTGCCGAAGTGATGTTAAATTTTAACTCACTCAGACTTGACGTACTAAAGGTACTTTAAATGCTAAATGTGATGGAGACTATCAAACTCTTCTCTACCTATACAGAACATATTTTGGATCTAAACTTGATTATGGCCGTTATATATATGGTTCAGCTCGTAAATCTTATATTAAAGAGCTCTCTGTTGAAACTAATGAGCCTTATCTTGAGACAAGACGGATGAAACTGACACTTTGATTTTCCCTCGATCGTTGGATGTCAAATTCAAAGGGCATATCGTACTATCAACCTCAACTCTCTGGGGATCATACAACTCTTTGCATTCACTAGACGCACCGAGTTAATGTCGCTTTCCCATCCTAACGAGGTGGGGCGGTGGGGTAGCCTAGTGGTTAAAGCGTTGGCTCGTCACGCCGAAAACCCGGGTTCGACTCCCCATATGGGTACAATGTGTGAAGCCCATTTCTGGTGTCCCCCGCCGTGATGTTGCTGGAATATTGCTAAAAGCGACGTAAAACCATACTCACTCACTCACTCACTCCTAACGAGGTACCCATTCACAGCCGGGTGGACTGGGACACATAGTCACAGTACCTTGTCCAAGTTTACTGCACGTTGCTGTACCCGCAACTAGGTGTTTGCACGTATTCACGTGGCCACCATCTGGTCACTTACCAATGGATTCCTGGGTTCTTTTAAGTGCGTAGTGTTGTGTACTGTACACTAGGGGTCGTTTCCACACAGACCACGAATCCCACGAATTGCCACGAATTGACAAATTTGAGTATTCGTAGTTGAATCGTAATCAGTTCGTGAAGTTCTTAACTAATTCGTAATATAGTCGTAGTCAGTTCTTGCAGTTCTTGAGTAATCGGGAATTCGTGGCAAAAGTTTTGAACTGTTCAAAATTTTGGCCACGAACTCCCGATTAAAAATAATCGTAGTTAATTCGTAACAAATTCGTAGTGCATTCTTAGGCATCGTAACCAAATCGTAATCAATTCTTAGGTATTCTTAACTCATTCGTGTATTCGTCAGTTCGTGGTTTGACCACGAATCGGCTACGAATCTGTCAGGAATCCCACAAATTCACGCCGAAGCAGTTACGAAGCAAGTAAGAACTACCTACGAATCAGCTACGACAGTAAATTGGGTATATAAGGAGTTTAACATTCACTTCCGGTCATTAGCTGCTGACGATTGTGCCACGTATCCACGTATTAGCAAGATGCCAAGAAAAGCTGCAAGTAAGGGCAAGGGGAGAGGGAAGAGAAGCAAGAGAGCCAGGGAAGAGGGAGAAGAAGGCAGCACCTCACCCCCAACCCCCACAAGAGTAGCTACCCCACCACTGGAAGATGAAGCAGCTCCAGAAGTGGAAAACAATGTGGCAGATTCAGCAGCTCAGTCAGTGGGTGCTGAGTCATTGGCTGGTGATGTTGGTGATGAAGATGAACTAGCAGCTTCTTCCCAGTATAAGAGTAAGAAAGTCAGGTTCTTGTCCAACCTCACAGAGGACGAACAAGAGGATGTGGCCCTCTTCCTTGAGAGGAATGACTTCATCTACAACAAGAGGCGGTTAGACCACCTCTGTGTCTCTAAAAAGAATAAGGCGTGGGAAGATCTGGCCCAGGAGATGGGGAAGGAGATGAAGGCACTGACTACATTTTTTGAGAGCATCCGTACCCAGATAGGGAAACTCAGGAGGAAGAAGAGTGGTCAGGCATCTTTTGAGATGACAGACCGCCAACAGTGGATATGGACCAGATTCCAGTTCCTGATGCCCCACATCGGACATGTCACCCAACGCATAGTCCAGAGCTTCCGGAGTGGCGCCACCACCAGCCAGTGTGATGAGTTCCAGGAAGAGGAGCCACAGTATCCAGTGACCACCACACCGTCCACCACCACTTCCGGGAGAACGAGTGTGACCGTGTCCAGCACCAGCGGATCCAGAGGCAAAATAATGGGGGCCGAAACCTTAGACCAGGAGCTGCACACCTGCAAGGACCGTCAGGAGAAGCTGTTACAGATCCTGCAAGCGCCTTCTGTGCCTGAGGTCCCCCATCCAGAGAGGTTAAAGTTCGCGGAGTACCTCGGGCATGCTTTCCAGAACCTGCCCCAGTCAATCTACCGTGACGTACAGAAGGCCATGTTTGACCTTCTGTTCAACGCTGAGAAGCAGGCAGATCTGGAAGCAGGAAGATCAGCACCAGCACCTCCTCAACTGTACCAGCAGTGGCAGCGAGACCCCTCGCAGTGGCAGTCCAGACCGGTGGCCCCAGCTGGGTCGGTGTGACACTCACAGGAGCCAACCTGGGTCGACAGGCAGTTCCCAGGATACAGCCAGTCTCCAAGCCAACAGGAACTGCCCCGTCAAAGGTCATCACAGACAGCTACCTACACCAACCTGGTGCCTCCTGCCCAGAGCCAGCAGCCCCGGTCGTCCTCCAGTGCCTCGGAGCATCAGCAGGAAGCGTCATTCAACCTGTCTGAGATACTGATGGACATCAGCCCCACAGCAGTTGCCACTCGGGTCACACAGACCTCGACGGCAACCGCTCAGCTTGACAGGTCCACACTCTCCACTCCATAGACTGTGTGTTTAGCTGTGTACATCTTAGACTGTGCGCTTTTAGCTGGGTGCTCTTAGTGATATGTTTATGTCTAAAAATTCCTCTCAAAGAGTTTATGTTTTTGTTTGATATGATATGATTATGATATGAATGTACTTAGATAAGCATTTCTATCTTTCAGTTTTATATAATACCAATAAAACTTGAAAAAAGATATAAAAAAGAATAAAGTTTGTTTTTGTTTGCGTGGTCCGAGCAGAGATATTGACAGATGGATTGGGGCAATGTGAAGATTGCAAAAACAAAACATTCATGACATAAAGCAGAAATTCTAATATAGTGAAGGAGGGAGCTGTTGTGCCAGTAGTCAGTAGAGCAATACAAGCCCTCTTGGGTCTCTTGTTTTCATAAACATTTTATTAGCGCTAATGAGCATTAATAAACACTATTAACATAATTTTAGCATGAAATATCAACATTTATCATTCAGTTAACATTCACTCCTGCCTGTCTTTCTTGCCACGGAACTGAACCTGCTTCACTGTTAAAGTAGGCCTTAAGATAGTCTCTCATCACTTTGCCCTCACGATTGTCTCTGTTGGGTGCCTGGAACTGGGGTATCTCCTCCACCTGTTGGTCTGCCCTCCAGGCACCAGGGATGTTGTTGTGGTCCTCATCCTCCCGGTCCACATCTGCATTGCCAATAGCAGGGAATCTGATCCTCAGTAAGTTGTGGAGGATGACTCCTGTCTCCACCAGTAGCCGCACCACATCAGGTCCTTGTTCCAGGGTGCCCAGGAAGCATCTCCATCTGTTGGCCAGTATTCCGAAACCATTCTCCACCACACGTCTGCCCCTGGATAATCTGTAGTTGGCCACCAGCATGTCATTGTCCAGACCCCTCCTGCCATAGGGTTTCATGAGAAAAGTCCTCAGAGGAAAAGCATCATCCCCCAGGATGTAGTAGGGTGTGTCTCTGTCATCATTGGGCAGGGGATCGCTGTCCGGGAAGTTTATGGTGTTGTCATCAATGCACTCTTTCAGTTCTGAAGCACCAAACAGCTGTGCGTCGGATTGATGACCTTCTCCACCAGTGTCTATCCAGATGAATTTATAGTCCGCATCCACCAGGGCCAACAGCACCACAGGAGAAAAACCTTTGTAGTTGAAGAACACACTGCCTGAGTTGTGTGGTTTCCTGATGGCTATGTGCTTGCCATCCAAGGCCCCCAGGGCATGAGGAACATTCCACCGGTCTTGGAACTGCTGGGCAATGTCCTTCCAGTCCTCCTGGGTCCTTGGCAGTGGCATGACTTCATCCTTCAGCTCCTGTATGATGGCCTGACAGACTTCCTGCACAATCCATACCACTGTGCTGTAGCCACACCGGAAGTCATACTGGATGGTGTGATACCGGTCTCCTGTAGCCAGGTGTCTGAGAGTCATGGCTAGCTTCATTCCGGCATCTAGGGCTGGTCTCATGTGGGTGTCCCTCCTCTGGATGACTGGGCTAATCCTGTTGAGGAGCTCATCAAACATGTGGGGTGGCATTCTCACATAGTTGGCAAATGCATTCTCATCTTCCATCCTCAGCTCTTGCATCAGTCTGTTGTAGTGACCATATTCTAGTCTTCTACCTGGTGTCAGCCACGGTCTAACCCACCACCTGGGTGCTCTTCTCCTCCTCCTTCAAAACAGTCTTCTTCTATAGTGATCAGCAGCTGGTGTTGATACTCCAGTTCCAGGGCCAATACGACAGCTGCTCTACGTTGAACATCCATTTTGGAACTGATACCCAAACATTCGGGTCATTCGACCTTTTTATACCTATCTAAAAGCGATTCCCCAGAAATTGTCAAGAGTAGTCACGAAATTCATTTATTCGTACCTGATTCGTACGTGCATTCGGCCTATTCTTAACTGATTAAGTAACTGATTCCTAATATTCGGGCAGTATTCGTAATAGATTCTTGTAAATCGTAGTGAATTCTTGACAATATTCATGCGATTCCAGCCGAATCCCACGAATATTCGTACCTGTATCGTCGGTAAATGAATCGTAGAGCGTCTTCACGAATGGACGCAGAAAAGTTGTACAATTCCACGAATCAGCACGAATTCTCACGAATCCTCAAATTTAGACTCACTAGTGTAAACATAGCCACTTACGTCAGGAAACTGTTCTAAACCAAATTTTGCAAAATATTCCAAACTGTCTAAAGGTACTGTTTACACATGAACTGATGTATTGTAAAACAAATTCGTAACGTTGAAAAAAATATTGTCATGAGTCCAATAAATGATGAAACTCAGTGAAAATTGGTGAATTCGTAACAAAACTTTACACCAAAATGCAGCTGTTCACATGCTCGATATTTGTACATGCCCTTCAGCAATTTGATGCATGATCCTTGTGCAGTTCATCTGCATAAGGTTTGCAGTTGGCTCCCCCAAGTTAGTGGAGAAATCAATCTTCGATGTAACCATATATATATACATCACATATAGTGAGTGATTTAGTGAGTCTAAACTTTTGATGGGTAGTATATATTAACAATGAAATCGATACCAGCAGCAGCTTGCTTATTGGCCAGGGCTGTGGGTAGGTACGGATTACGTGTCTCAGGTTTGAATTTTCAATGCTCACATTCCATAGTTCTTAATCAGTGGGCATGGATTGGTCACGGAACAAGTGGTCTTTTGGTGTTTATTGAACGTAATTTAGGGGTAGGCTTCAACAGCTCTCAGTCACGGGTATAACTTGGTAGTTAATATGAGCGGGGAGCGGGTATTTTAAGTTGGATAACTTGTCCCCAATTCCTTTCACATTTTTAAATAAAATATGTTTAAATCAATCAGTTAATATGATCCGGTACTGTTAACCTTTTATGATTTAATGTCTTCCATTGCGATATCACGTTGTATCTGTTGTATTATTTACTCATGTATTCAGTCATATCAGCTAATACCTTATCTCTATTATATACCTAAGAAGTAATGTTACACATTTAAAAATCGATATAAACATTTTGAACATCATCAATTAACAGAAACGTACAGAGGTCAAATTAAACATTCAACATTTATGAGTTAAATGGGTTAATGTCAATAGATATTAAATATACATCAAGTTATATTTTCCATTAAATATGTTTAATCACAACTATAAAATTTAAAACAGTCTAAATAGATATCTAGAATTTGAATGACCTCACGTTAACTGGAAATTAACACAATTTAATTTAGATGTCAGGACGGTTTGTAATGTTATGAGCAACGTATATACACCAGGACGACCCAGAGCGTTATATCTGTATAATCTGATAAATACCTTCAAGTCATTATTCCATAAATTAAATATCGTATCTGAAATAGCTCTAACATTGATTCGTCTTGTCATGCTGATTACCTGTGGTCGTATTACGTTAACAAGTGAGGTCAATTAGGATTCTGGCATGTACATTAGACGTCAAAAGAAACGTTACCCTCATACCTTTATGAAATACTGAAAAACTATCAAAGATATTTTGGAAGGTTTTAGTTTACAAGAAAGCTTAACAACACAGCTTTATGCAAATCACGTAAAAATAAATCTCAAATGCATTCATATTTGGGTTAAATGCATCTTTTTCAGAAGAGATAAATTGTCCTATATTCGTCCATGCCGAAATAAACCAATAATAGTGAGTTTGAAAGGTTGAAATAAAATTTTGCCTTGGGACAATGATAAACCATTTAAAGTCGCCATTTTTCAACTATTAAAACAAGAAACAACTGTTGTTGAGTGTGTAAAATTGTAAAATAATCTTTCCTATGATTTCAGTCTTTTAAAACATCTTCTGCTGATTTGCATTAGTGAAAACAAGTAAAACGTGTCTTTGATATTGTGAAAAAATGTTTAGGAACATCTACAATTATCTTTGTTAACATTTTGCTTGCAAAGTAACATTTTTCCATTGCCATTTTACTCATAGCAATATCAATCGCCAAAACGCAGCAATATTCAAACAGTATTTACATCCATTTCACATGCAGAATGATTCTATAGAGTATAAAGAGAGCCTAGAAGACATGATCTGATCTGATACACAAGTACGAGAAATATGCCACGATTAACAGCTGAAGGGGGGGTGGAGCCATTGGGATGTTGTAGATGGGGTCGACATACAATGCTATTGCCAACGCCCACGGATGCCACTGTATCACGGTTATAAGATGTTTTCAGGGCTTCAGATAGAGTGGGATCACCGTATACAGACTACGAAGTGGACGTCCACGCATCACAACGCCAGCTGAAGATAGGTACCTCCGTCATAAAGGAAGGAGGGTACCGCTCCTTTTGGTGTTTAGTGTATGTCAATAACCAAGCACACTACCAATGTCTCGTGTAACGTCATAAACCTATTGTGACATCAAATCTGCTTATTGTATGTATTGGACGTTGAATTTGACGTTTCTCTCATCAATACATCAGGTTTTGTCCTGTAGGATCTCTATGGCGTTTTCCGCGTGTCGTGATTTCCACAATATGCTCTGTGCAATTGGGATCTGGACTCCTGGTTCGCTAAGGTAGAGTTGCTGCCGCCTCTCGATGTAAGAGGCATAGTCCACAGCTGCCCATTGCTGGTCGTAAGAGGCGGCCGACTTGGGCAACCCGTTTGCCGTGTGTTGCGCCCCTGTGTCGGTGGAGGGCTTGATTCTGATAGTTGAGGGCACATCGATACATATTCCTTACACTCTAACAACATTGACACATATTCCTTACGCTCTTAGTGCATCGATACATATTCCTTACACTCTAACAACATTGATACATGTTCCTTACTCGCTAACAACATCGATACATATTCCTTACTCTCTAACAACATCGATACAACACTTGACAACATATTCCTTACATATACACTGTAACAACATTGATACATATTCCCAAAACTCTCTAACAACATGGATACATATTCCTTACACTCTAACAACTTTGACACATATTCCTTACGTTCTTAGTGCATCGATACATATTCCTATCACTCTAACAACATTGATACATATTCCTTACACTCTAACAACATCGATACATATTCCTTACGCTCTAACAACATTGACACATATTCCTTACGCTCTTAGTGCATCGATACATATTCCTTACGCTCTAACAACATTGATTCATATTCCTTACCCGCTAACAACATTGAACATACATTGACACACATATTCCTTACATATTCCTCACATATACACTGTAACAACATTACACACGCTTTGACATACATCGATACATATTCCTTACTCTCTAACAACATTGATACATATTCTCTAACAACATACATATTCCTTTACATTGACATATATTCCTTACTCTAACAACATCGATACATATTCCCTCTAACAACATCGATTCATACTCCAACTCTAACAACATTGATACATATTCCTTACACTCTAACAACTTACGATACATATTCCTTACGCTCTTAGTGCATCGATACATTTTCCTTACACTCTAACAACATTGATACATATTCCTTACTAACAACATCGATACATATTCCTTACACTCTAACAACATTGATACATATTCCTTACGCTCTAACAACATCGATACATATTCCTTACGCTCTAACAACATTGACACATATTCCTTACGCTCTTAGTGCATCGATACATATTCCTTACTCTCTAACAACATACATATACACTCTAACAACATCGATACATATTCCTTACACTCTAACAACATCGATACATATTCCTTACGATACATACACTCTTAACAACATCGATACATATTCCTTACGCTCTAACAACATGGATTTGATACATATTCTCTTACGCATTGATACATATTCCTTACTCTCTAACAACATCGATACATATTCCTTACACTCTAACAACATTGATACATATTCCTTACTCTCTAACAACATAGATACATATTCCTTACACACACACACACTTACTCTCTGCATATATCGGTACATATACATACAGTACACTGAGTGCAGCGCACAAACAAAGTTATGTTTCTTCACTCGCTCTGAACTAAATTATAAACAATTTGGTGAGGAAAATGACGCATATACGGGAAGCGTACGTATAATATACATCTATAATACCTGCTCTCAAATAACCATAATGACTGGTTAAAATAAGATGAAGCAGGGCACATTTACAATGCTGGCGTGAATTACAAACAATGCTTGCATGGTGACAAATCGATGTGGTGCAACGCGAGAAATGTAAATAGACTTGAAACTTGTTCTAGCTTTATCACGTTATATATAATTACATGTAGTTATATAATATGGGAGAAAGTCCTGTTTGATATAGGAACAGACATTTACCAGTATGGAGATGCTTTCGAGCACATGTATGGTAATTGTATACGTAGAGTTCGGTCTGAGTTTCGATCCCATTGGAGTCAAGGAGGAAAGCTTGCTCACAGCGATTTTACTCTCTCCTTCTAAAGACTCTCCCTCTCTCTCTCTCTCTCTCTCTCTCTCTCTCTCTCTCTCTCTCTCTCTCTCTCTCTCTCTCTCTCTGGTGGGAATACGCGGTTGCTCTCTCTCTCTCTACTTCGTGTGTTAATA